AAAGAGAGACAAAACAAATTTATTGAGGCAACAAAATGTTTCAACACATCTTTGACTGTCTGCAAGCCATCGCACCAACAGCAATAATATCCTAACACTAGAGACATGTGAACTCTAGTGTCTGAATACATAAACCAACACCAAAAAAAAAAAAAAAATTCTTTACTAACTGAAATTAGTTATAGAATAACATATAAGAACACTTGAATAAATTTACTACAGATTAAAATGGGAAGTTGTTAAATGAAAATATTACTGAACTCTTTACATCAATTGTTAAATAGTCATTATCTTTTATGTGATCTTTTCTTTCTTTCTTTTTTTTTGGAGACAGAACCTTAAGCTGTCGCCCTGGTGGCATCACAGCTCATAGTAACCTCCAGCTCCTGGGCTCAAGCAATTCTCTTGCCTCAGCCTCCCAGGTAGCTGGGACTACAGGTGTCCTCCATAATGCCCAGCGATTTTTTGGTTGTAGTTATCGTTGTTTGGTGGGCCTGGGCTGGATTCAAACCCGCCAGCTCTGGTGAATGTGGCTGGCGCCTTAGCTGCTTGAGCTACGGGTGCCGAACCTATGCAATCTTTTCTATAGAGTTGAGTATGTATAAAAAAGTTGACTGACAAAAAATAGTATGTAAAAGTAAATTCAATAAGACACTAAAATGTTAAGATGAAAATCCAAAATTATACCTTTAAAGCTCAAGAAACAGCCTCAATACTATTTCTCAATATTTTAAGGCATGCTAAACATAGTCCATATCCTTTATCTAATGTAAATATTAATATTACTTTACTACTCAAACTAAACCTTTTTATCCACATCACACAGTTATGTTTTTCAAAAAAAAGACAATATCCCTTTCATTTGAATGACACCACGTGAATTACAAATGATAACATACCATATTTGTTTTAACTTATTAGTCCCAGTGGAGTTATAATTCTAAAAATTACTAACTTTTAAAACATCATACCAAATAGGATTTATTACATATTTTGGCAGTTTCTTACCTCTCCCAACAAATTTCTCAGCATCTAATTTGGAGGGAACATGGAGGGTCACGTTTTTACAGGCATGGCAGGCAAATGTTAAGATCTAAAAAAGTTGAGAAAACCCCAAATCAATATTATGCATTAAAAAAGATTCATTTAATGTGTATATGGTTTATATAAATATCATTTAATGTTTGTAAGTAACTACCAATTATATTAATTAAATATATTAATTAGATGTATTTTGTTAACTAAAATACTAATCAAATAAATGAATTCATATTTATGATATAATTATAAACTAGGTTATGTAATTATAAAAATAAAATCAAATTACACAGAAATAAAAAATACCAGAAAAAAAACTTATATCAAGAGGAAAAAGATTAGGGTGACACCCATAGGTCAGGGGGAGGGCAACAGCCACATACACCCAGGCTGGCGGGTTTGAACCCAGCCCAGGCCAGCTAAGACAGCAATGACAACTGCAACAACAACAAAAACAAATGGCCAGGCATTATGGTAGGCACCTGTGGTCCCAGCTGCTTGGGAGGCTGAGGCAAGAGAATCACTTAAGCCCAAGAGTTGGAGGTTGCTGTGAGCTGTGACACCACAGCACTCTACCGAGGGCAATGGAGTGAGACTCTGTCTTGAAGAAAAAAATTAAACAATGAACTAACTACAAGTCATAGCTCCCTCCTTCAAAAAGCATAAAACTCAGAGAATTATGTATCCTCTTTAGCTTTGTTTCCCTTACTGTAAAATGGATTTCACAATAACTTCACAACTAAGGTAGTGGCAGCAGGGAGGATCCAACAACAATCAGTGTGAGAGGATCCTGAAAACTCAGGAAAGTCACCCAGGTACATAAACAGGAAAGAGAGACAAAACAAATTTATTGAGGCAACAAAATGTTTCAACACATCTTTGACTGTCTGCAAGCCATTGCACCAACAGCAATAATATCCTAAACAAAAACTCAGTGCTGGAGTGATGTGGAGATGTATTATGTACATACAATATGTGACTTACGTATTACTCCACACAAACAAGCAGATACATAATATTAAAATATGAACTTATTTTGAAGATGCATCTAAGCATAAATGAAAGCTAAAGTCAATTGAGGAAATAGTTCACTTAAAATTTTTCAAATAATTTTGTGACTTATGATGAACCAATTCTAATACAATACATATTTAAAACACACAGAAATTGAATTTTGTTTTCTCTGAAACTTCACAATAGATAATTCTGAAAGATTCCCATTCTTTTCTCCAGTTTTGCAAACACCTCTGACCAAAAGTAAGATAGCTATCTAGTAATTTACATAATTATTTACAAAGTTTTCAGGCACAAATTAAAATCATCAAGATTTGGATGAAAAATTTCCTTTTTAACATAAAGAACTTTAATTATCCAATTTAAACGATATGTGAAGGATCAGGCAAGACAGAAATTGTGTTTCACTTGGAAATTAGGGATAGATACAACTTCATTGTATCTCAGTTGAAAATTAAAGGATGAGAAGAATTTTCACTGGCTGTGTAAGATTACGTATGGTTATGTATATGATTATGAGGGTTCCAACTCAAGGCGATTGAAAGAATATATACACATATTCATTCAACCAACGTATCTTGACTACTTACTAGATGCTAAGAAGATTCAAAGGCCACACCAGAAAACAAAGCCAAGTCCTTGCCCTCATGAAGAATACATTATAACAAGAGATAAAAGAATAAATAAACAAATCCACAAGTATCACAGAATGTCTAGGCAGAAAGAGATAAATGTTATGCGAAGAAGCAGGGAGAGAAGATGACAAAAAGAAGACCAAAGTGTAAGTGAAATGAGGAAGCAAACCAGTTTTGTAACTGGGGAGGAGTCTCCCAGGTAGGGCAAGAATCAGAACAAAGGCCCTGGAGGGGAACCTCACCTGGTGTGCTGGGCCAAAAGCAAGGTCATGGTAGGAAAGCATAGAGAAGGAAGAGTGACAGAAAAGGACAACCAAGGGAACATCACGTAGGGCCTGAAGGCCGTGGTAAGAAGTGTAGACTTTGTTCTGAGTACAAAGAGAAGCAGAAGCATGCTTAAGAATCTGAAATGTGGAGAACAGGCTATAGAGAAGCAGGAGAGGAAGCCAGGCCAGGAGTTCAAGTCCAAGGCTGTAACAGGGATCCAAGGGAGGGATGGACAGTGACTTGGACTAAGGTAATAAGGGTGGAGAAGGTGAGAAATGGCCAGATTAAGACAATCCTTTGGCTACTGGTATCCTGGACATCCATTCATTTGAGCATTCAAGAAATATTTTTGAATTACTGATAGGTAATTATTCAATAGTATTGAATTACTATTCCACCGAAAAATAAATATTCAATCCAAGGGTTAAGACACGTTTGCAATGACAAAGAAGGTGGATAAATGCAATGACTGAGAAGAACAGGCTGCTACAGGAGAGCAGGGCGAACTAGCCTGGTCTAGGAGCCCAGTGCAGTCGCCTGCAGGGTGGCTACCTATTAGCCATGTTCAGAGGAGGCAGAGCTTGAATGTTCCAAACCAAGGAAGACCCAGAGATGATACGGGGCTAAAAGAGAAAGCTGGGATGGTAGATGTGAATAGCACAAGGGGGACAGAAGAGAATTTTAAAATGGCTTCAGCCAAGTAGGTATGGAACAGATTCTGAACAGCCTTAACAAAGATGTTAAGAAACCAAAGATGTATTTTAAGCAAATAGCATAAGCAGCTTTATAATTGAGTACACCATACTAATCAATGGGGAGAATGGATCAGCTGGAAACAACTTCCGTTTCCAAAAATGGCAGCTAGTTAATTCAGAGAACCCTATGTCAAAACTCACTAAAAACGATGGATAATGTTTTTCTTACATATCCTAAAAGCACAAAGTAGCTAACAAAACAGGAAGAGAAGGCTAAATAAGAGCTAAAGATAAAGCTGGAATACAGACTGGGAAGGAGAGAGAGAAGGACAGAACACAGAGGAGAAGAGAAAAATCAAATCACGGTGCCCACCCAAGATCTAGAGAGGCTCCCTCCACATTCATCTGGGACTCCGAATGCTAAGCCCACCTTATAAGCTTGAGCCAGAAGTTAACTGACCCTTGAATGGATATGTGATCCTCATGCACTTTGTTGGCTTGGTGTAGAAGCATCAAGCCATGAACCAATTTAAAAAAGGCTTGGCATGCAATCACCACCTACTGAAAGGCACTTGACCAAATTCAATAACTATTCTTATTTTTTTTTAAAGCCTCAAAAATTAAGAATTAGTAAGCATTTTTACAATATAATTTTATATATTATAATCATGACACAAAGGGGAAGGCTCAAGAAGCAATCCCACTAAACTTAAAGACCAGATAGGCTTTCCAAGGTCAGTTTCTATCACACCGAAGAAGGCATGTTAGCAAGAGGAATGCATTAGATGGCATATGAGTTAAAAAGAAAGTGATTAAAAAATCTCTATGCATTTTCATCTCAGTATGCCTGTTTACCTGGAAAATCCTAGCGACCAACCAATAAATTACTATAAAACAATAAGAGACCAGTAGGGGGGTGCAGAAATAATCACAAAAATATAGAAATCATGTGTTTTCATACCCCCAAACAAAACCAGTTAGATGACACAAGAGAAGAGAAGAAATTATTTTCAAAAGCAAGAAGAGGACTAAAATTTAACAAAAAAAAACATGGAGTAAAATTTAACAAAAAAACAACGCAAAGCCCATTTGAGGAAAACCTAAACACAATTCTGCGGGACATGAAAAGTAAAGACTTGCATAAAAATTAAGACAAAATCACCTCTCTGGCATGCTCTCTATAGACATAGACACACATACACGAATCCTTACTAAATTACACATTTTGTGATACCAAGAAAATTCCAACATGTTGGAGCTAACCAAGCTGATTCAAAAGGTCATCAGGAAAAACAAAAAATTAAGGACAAGAAAATCATGAAAAAGAAGGGCAATGAAAGGACATTAGCTCTAGCCGATATTAAAAGACCCTATAAAGTTGCAATAATTAAAGTAATGTAATATCAGGATATGAATAGACAGATATTATAGTTACGTATGAATTGGAGAAGACTAGGTAAAACAATTCCATTTGCGTGTGATATGACGGCATATGGTTCACAGAGGTTGAGACTTTCTGTTATCCCCACCACCAATTTAGCCTCAATCTTTTCCACACAGCAAGTTGTCAAAGTTTTGGATGTTTGCCATGTGCGAAATGACATTTCATTGCAGTTGTTCATTCATTTTTCCTTATTATGAATGAGGTTGGCGTGTTTTTATTTTGAGGGCCATTTTATTACTTAAAAGGAATTTGTCATGACCATGTTCATGGTGGACTTCTTGTCCTTGACTTACAAGAGTTCTTTATACATGTATTATTTAGCATTTTAAAACATGACAGTATTTTTTTCCAGTTTACCAATTACTTTTTGACGTGGCTTATGGTGTTTTGCTTGGTTTAGTTCATCTATTTCCTGTGGAGAATTATGTGTGTATATGTTTTATATAACGGATTTTCTCAATTTTAATAAGTTGGCTTTTAAATCTGAGTAAAAAATAGGTTTTCTTGACTCCAGATTTGTGTGGCTATTCATCATGTTTTCTTCTATTATCTGTATAGTATCTTTTTTATAAAATAGAGACAGGGTCTTGCTCATTCTGTCCCCCAGGCTATAGTGCAGTGGCATAATCAGAGTTCACTGTAACCTCAAACTCCTGGGCTCAGACAATCCTTCTGCCTTAGCCTGCAGGGTAACTAGGACTACGGTTGTGTGCTACCAGGCCTGGTTCATTTTGAAATGTTTGGTACAGACTGGGTCTCACTGTGTTGCTCAGGCTGGTACCCAATTCCTGGCTTCAAGGGATCCTCCTATCTTGGCCTCCCCAAATGCTGGGATTACATGTGTGAGCAACTGTGCCAGCTGGTATCATATTTTCCATCAAAATCTTTCATCTGTTTGGAGTTTTCTGTGGTGTTCTGCATGAAGCATGAATTCAACTTTATCTTTTGGAAAATTACTACCTCAATTGGTCTCAAAGTCATTCTTATATCTTACACTAGTACATATACATAATCAATGATGTGATATGCCATGTTAAAAGATAGCACTCTACTCATATATAACCTTTATGGAGAGATGAGCAATATATACCAAATTATATAGTCAATTACACTTTTTTCTTTTTGAGATAGAGTCTCACTTTGTCACTCTCCTTAGAGTGCCATGGCGTCATAGCTCTCAGCAACCTCAAACTCTTGGCTTCAAGCACACCTCAGTCTCCCAAGTAGCTAGAACTACAGGTGCCTTCCACAATGCCTGCCTATTTTTACATACAGGGTGTGGTTCCTGCTCAGGCTGGTCTCAAACTCCTGAGCTCAGACAATTCACCAGCCTCAGCTTCCCTGTGTTAGGATTACAGGCATGAGCCATCTAGCCTGGCTCATTTACACTTTTATTGGTCAATGCCATTATAGGTAATCTAGTCAATTAATACACCTGCCCATATATTCAACTGGAGGAAAAACCAGAGTACATACCTGCCCATATGTGCAATGACAGGTATCTAAGTTTATTCATTGCAACATTATCTGTAACAGCAAAAAGTAACAGCTGAAGTAATAGATACAAGTAAACATGAATGAACATCTACCTTTGAATGTAGATTTAATGGGACTTAATGATGAATTAAGGGCAGCAGTGAGGAGGGAAAACCAAACAACTTCCAGACTTCCCACCTGAGGAACAGAGGGGTGACAGTGCTATGGCAACGTAGGCTACTCAAAGAAAAACAGCATTGTTTGGGAAGATAATAAATATGTCACATATCCTAGTAGGCAGGGAGGTATAAAAGCCTATTGTGTGATGGAGACATCTGAACTAGCAATATTAGTTTAGGCTATGTTGGCACCTATGCAATATTTCAAGCCATAAAAGTGGTTGAAATGGCCTGGGGAAAG